GGCCCACCTCGACCGGGTAGTCTGGGTCCTCCGGAGGACCCGGCCTGTCGTTTTGGACAGAGCCTTAGTATAACATGAGTTATCGATTCTAACATGTTGGTTAGCTGTGCTCACCACCGCCTGCAGTATAGGCCCACTCTGAACATGGTATTTTAATATGCTGGTTATTTTCAAGATTTGACCAGAAAAACTCTATATCTTTTATTTTTCAACATAAAGTGATTATAGCTTAAAACTTTGTCAAGAAAGGGTGGTGGGTGATCGGCGTTTCTTCAAGGAATGCTAAGCCTTTAATTAAAATAGCATTCATGCAAAAATGTTGTGAAGTTTTTGAGATTGGAGTTACTGTGGCAGATCTGCTTCACAGATGTACATACATGTCAACCTCTTTGGATGTTTACCTGTATAAAGAGCCTCAAAAATCCGTAAATTTTGCAAAAAATCTGTACAACTCGCACCCGCGTGTGTTTGTGTGTTTGTGTGTTGGCTGCGGACGTGAAGAGCGAAGCAGGAGGAAAGGAGAGCGGAAAAAGTTCAAAACTTATTTCTAGCGGCATAACAGGTTGTGAGATGGCTGTTTGATGTTATCTATTGTTTTTTAAATCATCCTAYAGGCTCTGACATGTTAGATAAATTTGAAAATGAGGTTATGAAAAAATCTGTAAGACTTGAAAAATCCATGAGATTGGTCTGTACGTGCTGCGAAATGACGTAAAATCCTTATAACTTACGGACAATCCATACATGTATGGATGTAGCTAGTCATTAAAACGTCAGTCTGGTCAGAATGACTCAAAATTTAGGTAATTCAGAAAGCCATCTGTGACWGGTAAGATGTTTACTGCTTCTAATCTTTCCTCAAAACTCCACTTTTGAATGAACGAATGAGCCAGAGTGGGTGTGAAATACACCCCTGGTCACAGGTGTCATAAAAGAGCGCAGTAGGTTTGTGACCCACTCACCCACAGGTAAAATCATGGTGGGAGTTCCTGGCTTCCCACCAGCAGGTCCCCTCCATCAAACCCACTGATCTGGGAAACAGCCAGTTATTATTAATGAACTGGACAGGAGGCTCCACTCATTTCAGAGTGTGCTGATTGAAGTGAAGAAGAGAATTCCACAGTGGGCACAGAGTGGGGGGTGTTCGAGCTGTGATCTCTGTGTGAGAGAGTCCTGACTGGGCCCGTTCGGACCACAACAAACCACCACCGTCCACAGCTGTGCTTGGAGGGCCTGCAGGCCTCAATGGACGGGGGTCAATACAAACTGAGGGGGACCGGCGCATACCAAATCAGGGAGAACGAATCAGGAGGAGTGGGGGGGGAGAAAGGGGGCGCTCCTTTCTCCCACAGAGCAGAACCTTAACTTTAAATAGATGTTTTCTCATATAAACATGTTCATTTATTCCTTTAAAAAAACAACTTCCGGTCTAGCGGTTAATTGGAATCTGTGGAAAAGGTCCTCGCGCGACGTAAACCCGAGGAGAAGCGAAGCTGCAGTACCCGARTCTGGGGGATTTTCGGGAGCCAGTCCCTCATTGTCCAGATCCCTCCCCCTGCTTGGGAAGTGGGAGGACCCGAAAAGGCGTTCCAAAAGGGAGAATTGTTTGAGAGCTCAGTCATCCAAAAACGGCCTTTCAATGTGAGAACTTGGGGAGCCGAAGAAGAAGAAGAAAACGAAGAAGAAGAAGAAAATGTCGGGTGGCATCGCAGTAAATTACTAAAGCAGCGAAGGCTTTAGCGACAGAAAGAGGAGGGAAAGAAGTGAAACGAGTGTCTGTTTTTTTGGGGGACTACGACCGAGAAGAGAGAGAAAAAGAGGTTGGAGTGAAGTGAGACGAAAAGTGCAGCAGTTTTTGGTAAGTTTTACCTCTTCACCATCATGCGGTCCGTGTTGTTATTGTGGCGCTGTTACGCTACTTTAAAACAGTTTTTTACAAACGTACCCGGTTTGGTTCGTGTTTAACGTTTGTTACTACAATATTTTCCTTCGAACTACTTTATATATTCAATTCCAAACTATTATTATTAAACTTTCATACTTTTAGTTCATGATGGAACTTTGATAGCTAAGCTATATGCGTCTTTCTTTTAAACTCTCCGTCACGCAAACGCATCATTGTTTAAATGTAGTTTTTTTTTGGGTCATATTATAGTTTGTTTAAAGCAAAGCTTGTCGGGCTCAGCCTGTTGTTGAATGGATGAACCCCTCGTCCATATATTATTATCCAAACCTTTCGTCTTCCTGCCCGTGTTTGCGGTGTATCACCGCACAATGCGTGTAAACGGGGATGTAAAGTGTCTGCGGGACGCGGTGTAGAGGTTTGAAGTTGTGTTTTAATTCCATTAAGTGTGTTTTTGTTGATTAYGGGTTCAGGGTGTACAGGCCGCAGCCTATAGCTGCTTCTATAGGCAGAGAGAAAACAGACATGTTGAACCTCTGCCAGATTTACACCCAATGATGCTGGGAAGCAGAATTAACTAATGAATATTTAAAACAAGGTTGCTGTTGGATAAAAAAAACACAAGACTAGATTATTTTCACTGATGAAAGTCATGTTTATAATATGAAAATTATTATAAAATGCTGCTCCTGATAAATTTTCATCCTCTAGACCTAAAATTCCTGTTTATTTGTTATTAGTTTGTTGTACTTTCTTTACTATAATCCATTAGATTCACCATAAAGGGACCAGGGAGGACTAGTATTACACTCCACWTACCAAAACAAGTCTACCTGAGTGCACTCCCCCCTTCAGCCCAGCTGTCAGAATGACCTCATTAAAGCTTGTAAATAAACTGGCAGCTGTTGGATGGATTCTACATGAATGTCTTTGCTTTCAGGAGGATCTTTCTGATTATCATCCTCTCATTCAGGTCTGATTTAATGAGGAAAACATAGTCTTGCCAGTCTCCAGGGGCTGCTAATGAGTCTTGGCCAGGGTGTTATCACGGGAGGCCTGCTGGAACAGCCGCAGGGGCTCGAGTTTCCAACCCCAGGTGTCGTTTTTTGTGATTTGGATTACATTTAGCCTCCGCTGGCTCTTTGCATGGAGCGATTCAGTGACAGACATGGCATCGTACAAGAGGGCCCGATTGTTCCCACTGAATCAATGTCACTTGGATTAAAAGTCGAAACGAATGGCCTGGCCTCCCCCAATTAGGCTCACAGCCTATAAGCAAATTAATTGGTCTCGGTTATATAAAAAAAGGAGCCTTGTTGCTGGGTTTGTTGTTTTTCTTGATCATCTTTGACAGGAGGGAGGATCAAAGTTGTTCTCTGCCTGTTTCTCACACTGTTTGGTTCTTTTCATTAGAGCGAACATTATGAGTCCATAATCGGCTTCAGTTTATAGGAATTGAATAGACACCCATCAAGACATTTTTCTTTATGAAATATGCAAATAATAAACAATAGAAAAGCTTTTAGATTACCAAAGCAATGAARCAATTTTCCCATGTGAGGTTTAGTTTTTGTTTTTGGACAGTTTTTCCTTAAACTACATCTTGAGGTTTGAGATATTTTATTTATTTATTGCTTTTATCTATTTAATAGATGTCAGATAGTGAACCTAGATAGTTTAGCATCATAGTGTGTTTTGACCAAACATGATCTTAGGTATGTAACGCCTAAGGCTGCAGTTGTTAAAATTAAAACATGGCTCAGTACAACCGATAGTTGACTTTATAATCTGAGTTTGGCGTAACTTTTACAGACAGATCCTTGTCCAACTAAGATACATTACACTCTGTTGATCTTGGTTGCCTACCAAAAAGAGAGTGAAGACAAAATCTGCRAGTTTTAGACTGTTGATACTTTTTTTTTTCAAACCAATAGGCCCTGCGTTTTTATATCTTGTAAAGAAATTTTATAATGTGTCTTTAGGTCTGCAGCCAACCAGTATCTATCCGACTTTGTCATGCTGAAAAGATGGTATTTTACTTGTTCGACTCTCATCTGGTGTGTTTTTACATCTGGATGTAAATCAAAGTCTAATAAATCCACCCCCTTAAGATTAAAGATAACAAACAGGCCTTGGATCCATACGGTCTGGTGTTACCACTCGGATCTTGTGTTTGAGAGCCAGCAGTTCTGACTCCGGTGCTGGAAAGCAGCATTGTTAKTGTAGGAATTTTAACATTGGCGTTAATTGACAAAAGAGAGGAAAAAAAATATTTCCTGAAGGCATACTTTCATCTCCCTGACAGCGGGTAGGCTCATGCAGTCATAACAGCCTGGAGACAGAATCTGTGGGCCTTTGCTGCGTTTTTGTGTGTGTGTGTGTGTGTGTGTGTGTGTGTGTGTGTGTGTGTGTGTGTGTGTGTGTGTGTGTTAGTCACACAATCAAGGCCATCTCTTTGTAGTGGAATGCACCACTTGTCATTTTGGTCCAAAGCTGGCTTCACCTGATCGGTTGTTTTGAGATCAGTGCATCAGAAGAAGAGCTCAAGATGTTGAAGGAGAAGAGAGGGGAGAAGTTAATAATTTTAACCCTTTTTTTTCTGAGTTGATGTAATTTTTATAAACCAGCAAAGAACACATTCATGGCCAAATAAGGCTGCTTCGTTTTTTTCCCTGGCTGTCATTATTGGCCCGTTGACATATGATGCATTAGGCTTCCAGCGCTGACAGATTGGAGGCTCGGGGTSTAGCCCTCCTGCACCCGCCTGAGAGTTTCTGTGTCCAGTCAGACATCGGATGACTAAAAAGGGACACCTGGACCGGCAGGTGGCCAGGGTCCAGATCCCTCCCTGGGGCTTGCATACCTCTATTCTCTTGATCCTCCCTGCCAGTGAGGACCACAGAGACGGAGACGAAGGAATGTGTTTAAAAAAAAAAAACAAGAGGAGGGGGAAATGGTAAAGAAGAAATTTCTGACAAAGTTTGAGGAACTAATTTAACACGCTATGATTAAACACATCAAATCGAAAGGACGCAAGAGACAAGTAAAAGGCTTTAGGGCTGCACAAGATATAAAAGAGTGATTGCGTTTATCARTGTGAATGCTATCTGGTAATATCAGGAATATATTTGAACTTTGCTAACCTTGATGATACTCACAGCTGGTTTATGAAAACACAGTTTCCACAAAACATTGTTACAGTAACTATGCCAGGCCTGTATGTGGTGCTGTAAAGCTCCCACAAAAATACATTAAAAACAGGAAACAAGGTGTGAAGCGTTCATAGAAGTCTGCGTACAAATATAAACACAAGAAGACAATGCTCTCAGGTTGTAGGTTACATTAGAGCTATGACATTATCGTTTTCAGCTGGTTTTGGCTGTCTGYACAAAACAAGGGTGATGTTTCAAGRTTTTTTTTTYCCCCCATCTGGAAMTTGTTTTTTTTWAATGCTGTTTTGGGTCTCCTAAAACAAAGTTTCAGTGTGAAAGCAAGCCTAAAACGATAAAATCTTTGCAAATTAACAAAAACTGTTGCTGTGTGGTCGGGGCTCTTAGGTCAAGGTTTACCAAAGTTTTTAGGTTCTAGACCAAATTATGCTCTATAAATTATACTCGTTTGTATGTATTATGGTTGCAATCACACTCAAACAATCTTAATYGGGATTATCCAAAGCTTTTAGACCAGTTGAGTTGATTTTGTTCTACTACTTAAAGCAAAACATAAGAAGCTCTTGATTGGATAATGAGGTTACTCCAGTCACTCTCCTCTCACACTCCCTTTCTCCCACACACAAACATGCAAACACACAGTTTGTGATTGCTGTGTTTGCAGTGTTAGATCATTGATCAACTCCAGACTCTGCAAAGAAAGCTCTGTGTGTAGACAAATACGTCTCTGTKTGCAAAGTAGATATTTGGACAAAGATTAGGGGCTGTTTTTACGAGCCAAAAGCAACTCAGACGCTTTAATAGATCATTCACACAGACTCGAGGTTGTACTCCGACTGGGACTGTTCAGTTTAAGCCTCCCTCTCTCCATCTCTTTCCATCTTGCACACTTTAAAGTTTGTAGTTAGTTTGCCGTCCAGATGGAGTATTAAATGCACATTGTGTTTTTTCCCCCCTCCAGCCTGCATGAGAGAAACAATAAAAGCATCAAAAAGACATGTCAGGGAATCTGGGTTGTGTTCCAGGGCTTTAACCAGTAATCAGATTTATTGTGTTGCACTAGAGAGAAAAAACTCATCATTGAAGAATGTCAAACTGGCAAGAGAAGACATGATTCAACAGAATAAATCACTGGGCACCAGATCACTTCGTAATTGGGCCCCTGAGGTTATCTGAGCTGGAATTTTCCATCAGTAGAGCGGCTCCATCTGCCGTAACAGTTGTATCTCTGAAGTTTTGTTTCGCGGTGTTCCAGAGCCGCATTGTAGACATCTGTGACTCTGACTGACGCGACAAATGGCAGCCCTGCAACGTGGTCGCGAGTCCAGGAGCTCCACTTTCAAACCAGCCTCGTCCAGCTGTTTCTCCTATTAAGACCCAGCAGCTTTCACTTCACGACCAACCGTCAAACTCAGTTTCACCGTGTCGAAGATGGCTGACGCCCCACGGCTTCACTTTGTGTTTAATTTCCTGCCTCTTTTTTTTTTTTCTAATTCCCTCCTCTCTCATATCTGTTATTGCTATAACTTTCTCCTTTGGCTGTTCCAAATAACTTTACAGCCTCCCTCCATTCCCTCATCTCTCTTTCCATCTCCCCCTCCTCTGCCTTATCTCGCTTTCCTAATGCCTTCTCATATCTGTTTTTCATATAATATTTCACCCGCTCTGCTTTTCTCTTCTTTCCTTCATCTCCCACTGAGAGTTTTAGAGCCAGGCAGCTCTCCTTTTTTTCCTCTTCTGGGTTCCTGCTGAATAATGGGGAGAAATTGCTCTTGATTTATAATT